GCGCCATTTTGGGATTCCTGATCGGCGGATGGGGTAGGACTCATTTAAAACTTTGTCTCCCACTTTTCTCCCAGAGCTGTACATTTCCTCATTTCCCCTTCCCTTGTTAATAAACCTTTTATGAACCTTTCGCGTGTGCCTGCAGTAGAGCATTGATAAGTCCTTTTAAGCGCGCGGGTGAGGACCCACAGTCAGGCACCCCGTTTTGTATCGGGGTTGCTCTACAACAGCTGGAGGGACCCCGCGAGGCGCCTCCGGGCAGGAGTGGCTCAACCCCCTCTGCTGCGCGGACCCGCCACCGTGGGTGCTGCGCATCAATGAGAGGCCTCGAGTAGCAGCTGGGAGGCAAGACAGGAGACCCAGATAGTCCAGGGCTCTCCGGGGCGAAGGCCCAGGTCTGCGGCGCGCCCCGCCTTCGAACCCGCTGCGTCCCGTCCCCTGCGCTTGGGTCGCAGCCAGCTCCAGCCGGGAGCAGCCCCGTGATCGGACTCCCCGCGCGGTCCTCTCCCCGGAGCCGAGGCGCCCGCGCTGGGAAGCCGCTGCGGAGTCCTCCGGCTGGGCACGGTCCCAAACGCTTTCTGGAGCCACGTCCGTCGCGGTGCCCGAGGCAGGATGCGCCTCGGTGCCCACCACGCTGCGCGCACATGGGCAGGGCGGGGGGCGCCGGCGGCGGGCACGGCTCGCTCCTGGAAGCCAGGGCCGCTCTGCGCCCGGCGTTGCGCGACACCCCGCGCGGCGGCGAGGAGCGAGGCGGCACGACGCGCGCCGGGGGCGGAGCTGGGGCCTCACCGCCTGGAGCCAGGGCGCGCGCCGGGTGCGGGTCTGACACCACGCGAGGCCTTGGACCCTCACGAACGCCTGGAGCCCCGCCCTCGGGGGCGATTTTGGCACCTGGGTCCGTGCCACGGTGCCAGCGTTGGTCTGGCGCGCGCCAGCCAAGGCTCCCGGCGCTGCGCCGAGGGCTCCGCGGCGTCGCCAACGGGGCGGATCAGACTCCGCCGCACGAGCGAACAGCCCGCAGCCCTCGCGGCGCGCGGGGGCGGGGCCCGGCCGGGGCGCCAGGCTGCAGCGCGCGGGCAGGTGCGCGCGGGCAGGTGCGCGCCCGGTGGAGCCCACGCGCCCGCGCCGGGAGGCCGGCCCGCAGCGACGCCCCCGGCCGCCCGCGGTACTGCAGGCGCTCCGGGCCGGGCGCGGGGCCGAGGTCCAGGGGCGGCCGCGCCCCCGGGAGGCACAGGGCAGCGGGCACCCGACCCTGGAGCCTGCGCGCGCTCCTGCGCCCCGGCCACTCCCAGCCAGGGCTGCGCCCCACACCCGCAGTCACTTGCAGGGGTCACACCAGGGGTGCAGAGCCGTGATGGGAAGCGGGGGTCGACCCTGCAGCTCCACTCCTGCACCCCAAGACTGAGAGGAGAAGTGGATTTGAGTATCGGGGCTGTCTTGTAGGAACTCGAGTTTGGGGATTCCGGGCGGAAGCCTTTATTCCTCTTTCACAGACATGCAAATTGAGGTCAGAAAGGTTACCAGATATCTCAGAAATGTTTTGAACAATAGCAACAAAAGCCACTTCCTCGGGCTCCCGCTTATGCATAGTCTTGAAGTGCCTGAGATTTAAATGTTTTGCTCCCTCTCCCCACCCCCAACCCCAAGCGCTAGACCCGCTGTTAGAGACCCGGCACTTTCTCAAGGGGCAGAGGGTCAAGGCCTGCTCCAGCCAGCGGCTGCTGACAGCTTCGGGAGGACGACTTCCTCGGAGCAACCCCTGCGTAAGTGCTGGGGACGATCGGAAGCCCCACCGCCTTCCCCATTGCCCTCAAACCTGCCCAGCTCAGGATGGTGGCGCGGGTTCTCCCTGCAGGGACACTTTCCTGATCCTGTGGCTGGCTCCTCCTGCGGCTTGGAGCTCATCTTCAAAGGCCCCTTCTTTGGGTCTAGCTCGAGCTTTGCACGCCCTTCCACATCGCATTACCCCCCACCCCCCCAGCTTCTAGCTCGCCCTAATATTAACACTTTATTCCTTTGGCCTATGCTGGAGGTCCACCAACCCCAACCAAGCGAGACTCCCTCGGGCAGAGCCTTCCTTGGGCCTCACGATCCCCAGCACCTGGCCTGCGCCTGCACTAAAAGGGCACTCGATAAAGGTTTGTTGAAGGAATGTGCAAGTCAGTGAAAACCAGCTCCCGGCCCTTATACTGAGTGGCTGGTTTGGTCACATGCTCCTCCTCTCGCCTGTGTTTCAGGCAATCCTATCTGGGGTCTTGTATTAGTTTCTTGGGGCTGCCGGAACCGAAAGAAATTTGTTGTCTCCGGGTTCTGAGGCCAGAAATTTGACATCAAGGTGCCATCAGGGCCACGCTCCCCAAAAAGTCTATGGGGGGATCCTTTCTTGACTCTTCCAGCTTCTGAGGGTTTCCGTCATTCCAGTCTCCGCCTGTCTTCACGTGCCTTTTCTCCCGCTGCCCCTCTGTCTTCGAAGGGCCTTCTCTGCTCTGTGTCTCCTAAGGAAGCCAATCCCGTACCACCTACTGAGCTCAACTCCACGATGTCTGCAAAGGCCTGATTCCTGGCAAGGTCACATTCACAGGTATGAATTCCAAGTCACGGGCAGGAGGTGAGGGCTCAAACGCCTTTTGAGAAGATATGGCTCACCCCACACATGGGTGATCCCTGGGACACTGAAAACGGGTTCAGGCAAACGAGCTGGGAGCACGGAGGAGCCGTAACTGTCAGAGAGGGGCCGGTCCAGAAGTGACCTTTCCGGGTGAACGAACACTCCCTGCATGAAAGCCTCTTGGAGGACCCCAACTTGAAGGGTTTCTGCAGGCATGTGTGCTTTCCCTGCTCGGCCCTTTTCCAGGGCAAATACCCCAGACCTTCCAGAGTGTTCTATCTCACTGGATGGGCTCCAGAGAAGTGAGCTGCTGGGCGCCTCCTCTCTGCAGGGGCTGTGCCAGGAGCTGGTGTTTCTCTTGTTCGATGCTGGCAGCTCCTTTGGGGCGTGGGGGGCTACCCCTCACTGAATGTTCCAAGAGAACAGGGATTCAGACAGCTTCCGGGGGGCAGCTGCAGCTTCCTTGGGCCCAGGCCGGGGATGTGGAAGCAGGTCTCACTCTGTCGGCCATTCCTTGTGCCTCCGGAGGACAGAACAGCAAGGCACACGTGGCAGGCAGGCGAGGCCAGGACAGGAGCTACCTCGGGGGGGGAAATCCTCTGGGATTCCGATTCTCCAGTCCTTGTAATGAAGACTTTTTCCTGATGTGACTCCTTGTCCTCCAGAGACTTCCAAGCAGTGTCCAGTTTGCATCTGCGTCCCCCCCAAGCCCCTCCCACTCCGGCGGGAAACAACTCTCCGCTCTCTTCTCCCTGATGCAAACTCGGGTGCAGAAGAGGGTCTTTGCTGAGAAGCCCCCACCAGCTTCTTCGGGCCCTAGAAGCTAAAGGGCCGGAGGCGAGCAGGGGCCGCCCTGGTCAGCGCGGGGTCGCGTCTGGCAGCGCAGCGCGGAGGAAGACTTGGGGTGGGGGGCCCCTCTAGCGCGGGCCTGCCGTCTGCCCGGCGCCGGCTATTTCGCCGTGGACATGCCGCGGGCGCAGCGGCCACCGGCCTCCCTGGGCGCCCCAGCCCGCTCGCGCCCCCCCCCCCCCCCCCGGCTGCCAGGGGCCGGCGTCCACGCGCTGACCTCTGGCCTCCAGCAGGAGGGTGCTGGGACCCAGCGCGGCTCCCTCTGGAGCGTGACACGGTCTTGCCGGGGTCCCGTGGAGACGCGGGGGACAGTCCCACCCCGCGGGGAGCAGCATCTGAGCCACCGTCTGGCCCAGGTCCCTGGGGTGCTCGGAGACGCTTCTGCGCTAGGGACGTCTCCCTGCGGGAAGGTCAGGAGCGTGCGGGGTGAGGTGCCGGGACAGCGCCCCCAAACCGCGCCGGCGCACGGGGAGCCGTCCGGCCGCGGCCTTGCTGCGCCCAGGGCCTCCCCGCCGCTCCCCGCCGGCCCGACCTGCCCCACCCGGGACCGAGGCGGCGCCGCGCGCCGGGTCGGATCCTCCCACCGGCCGGAGCGCCCGCGGCTCGGCGAAGCCGGGGTGGTCCGCGCTCGCGCCCCGCGGTGCCGGGATTCGAACCCGCGGCTCCCCGGCGCCAGCCCGCGGTTCGGCCTCCGGGCTCGGCGGCGGCCGCGCGCTCCGGGAGGCGGGAGGCGGGGGCCGGGCGCGCGGGGCCGGGGCGGGGCGCGGGGGGCGCGCGCTGCGCGGGTCGGGGCGGCGCGCCGGGGCCTCGCGCTCCGGCCGGGGGCGCCGCAGTGCGCACGCGCGCCGGGCCGGCTCCGCCCCCGAGTCGGACCCACGGGCGCGGCGGCGGGGCCGGCGGGCGGGCGGGCGGGCGGGCGGCGCGGCGGGGACGCCCCTTCCCGGGACGGGCGCGGCGCGCGGCCGGTGAGTGGGCGCGGGGGCCGGGCGCGCGGGGCGGGGGCGGGCGGGCGGGCGCGCGGGGCGGGGGCGCGCGGGGCGCCGGCCGGCGCGGGGACCCGGGCGCGGGGACCCGGGCGCGGGGGGCGCGGGGGGCGCCGGGCCGCGGGCTCCGGCCTGGGGCGCCGGGCCGGGCCGGGCCGGGCTGGGCCGCCTTTGTGCCGCCGCCGCGCCGCGCGCCGGGCCGGGCGGGTGTGCGCGCCCCGCGGCCCCTCCCGCCCTCGGCGGCGCGTCCCGGGAGGCGCCCGCGGCCGCGAGCAGGAAGTGGCGTCAGGAGGCCATTTTTAAAGCCTCCTGCGGCCTCGGGGCGCGCCGACGCGCGTGGCTGGCGGGGCGCGCCCCCGGCCCCCGAGGCGCCCCGCCCCCGCCGCCCCGGCGCGCGCACCCCGGGCGGGCGCCGTCCTCTTGCAGACCCGCCTGGCATTGTCTCCCTGGGGGCCGGGCCGGGGTCGGGGCCGGCGCGTCGGGGGCGGGGAGACGGAGGACCCCGGGCGGGGGGACCCCCGCGGAGGCGCCCCGGCTGGGAGGGACCCCCGGCCCGCTGCCCCGGTGCGGGGGCCCTTGGGCAGCTGCAGGCCGGGGCGGCCAGGGAGCGCGCCAAGACAAGGATGGAGCTTTTTTTAAAAAAAAAAAGGACAAAACCCAAAAGAACAGGAAAGGAAACGCCAAAGAAGAGAAGGAAAGACAGACTGGAGGCCTCCGTGCGCTCGGTGGCCCCTTTCAGAGCACCCCGACTGTAGAAACTGGGATCGGGACCCGCTGGCCCGCCTCGTTAAAACAGAGCAGCGTGGTGAGCGCTTTCTCCTCTTGGCGCATGGAGGTCTACACAGCCTGCCTGGATCGTGCTGGAGCCTTCGGAGGCTGGAGCCAGGAGCCGGGCGCGGCTGGCCCCGGGGTCGGTGGTGTTTTTCCCGAGACAGGGCCTGGGAGAGGCGCGGCCTCCCGGCTACACACGCAGCGTCCAGCCCCGCCCCGGCCTGTGCATTGTCGGACACGCTTCCTGGCCGGGGTTCTGGAAGCCAGTGGAGGGTTCTTGGAAGCCGGGATATTGTCTCGGCTGTGAGATTGTATGATCTTGATGTTATCTTGAACCCAGGATGCATTTTGACCATTTTTAATCTCAAATCTTATAGGGCCTTGAAGGAAAACAAACCTTAGTAGCCGTTGGTTCTGCTGATAGCGTCCATTGTAAGTGCCCTGCTGGAAAGGCAGACAAAGGAGGGTGACGGTTCGGTTTGGTTTTTCTAGTTGGGCCCGCCCCGCCGCTGGTCACGATAGGCTAAACTAATGTAGGTTTTTAAATATCCAATAATGGCAATTTAAAAAACACATCCGTGGCCGGTCTGTTTGCCTTAAAGTCAGGGATCTGAACCAGCTTTCGTGCAAGAGGAAGAACAAAGAGCATTTCTATGATTGTCATCACCAAAGCGGATTCTTTCTCTGTCCAGCCCCTCATCCCGCCGGTGTGAATCCGGAGCCTCTGGCCCAGCCCCGCGCTGTTGAAGGCCAGAGCAGGTCCGCACGGTGAGGTGCCCGGCCTCGTCCTTCTCCAGCTGCCTGGCATACGCTGCATTTTCTTTGTTCACGTGGACAGATCCAGCCAATGGCAATTTCTAGGCTCCACCCTGGGAGTGAGTGTGGCTGGAGAAGTCCTCGCCAGGGGCTGGGCGGGGTGAGAATAGGAAACCGCAAGCCCGGCTAAAGGACAGTCGGATCCCTTCGTCCCCGAGCGTCGTGTGAGGTCGCCATACACCTCTGCTTAAGAAGCACTTTGGGGACTCACTCCCCTTGTTTTTACAGAGAAGTGCCTGTGGCAGCCTGAGACTTGGTAGCTCAGGACTGGATCCCTGAGCCAGGCCTCTGTTGCCGGGTGTCTTGGCAGTACCGGCCACCTCAGTGGGTGTCAGGGAGAGGCCAGGGCCCGAGGTGCTCACCGGATGGGACTCCGGCCCGAAGAGGGAAGCTGGAGCCCGGGCCACCTGCCCGGTCTTGACTCACGTTGGCAGCTTGGTGGCTCCAGCAGGAAGTCCAGGCAGTGCTGAGGAGCCGCCTGTGCTGGCTGGTCCACAGCTCGGTGTGGCGGCTTCCACGGGGGCGCCAGGAATGCAGGGCTCCGGTTAGACACTGGCCGACGGGCTCGGACCGCAGGAGGCCGCTCGGCTTCTCCAGTTCTGTTGTCTTGCAGGAGGTGGCAGTTGGAGGTGAGCCCTGAGGAGTCGGGTATGAATCTGCCTCTGCAGGCAGGCACCCGGCGACCTGCGGGGCCCAGGTGCTCTGGGGTGGGCAGCCGCCCTAAGCCGGACCCTGATCAGACCACTGGTGTGGCATTACCTCGTCCCTAGGGCGCACTGCTGTTTGGAGACCAGCCCACGGCGTGGGTGAACAGCCCCAGCTTACTCCAGGTGGACCCGGTGCTGGCGGCGCTCCGAGTCTGTGAAGCCCACTGCCCTTGGCTCACTTTACGGAGACAGCGGTGATGTGGCCCAGGCCGTGTGGCTAAGCCAGGGCCCTCATCACCTGCCCGCTGCCCCGTTCAGTCCCTGGCTGGGCCCGTGCACAGAGGGCACACAAGGAGATGGGCCGGGCCAGGCCATGCGCTCCCTGTCCCTGAGACGCCGGGGATGCGCCTCAGCCTCAGCCACATGTTACCGTCCCGGGGAAGGTTTTAAGACTGAAGGGTCTCGGCAGCCTCCTGCCTGCCTGCGACCATGCAGGTGTTTCTTCTCCAGCCTTCTCCCTGTGCACATCAGCAGCGGCAGCTCGTCCTGCCTGCTTGCGTGTGTGCCCAGTTCTTCCCTTCCCTCCCCTCCTCCCTTTCCCTTTTTATGACAAACCTGCCCCTGTGGACATAAGGGGGAAAAGACCGAAGGGCCTCCCCATTCCCACCCACACCTGCCGGCTCAGGGCTGCTGCCACCTCACACCTCCCCTGCCCCCGGTAGGCTCCTGGTTAAGCTGAGTTTCTGCTGCTCTGCACGTGGCTTTCTGCATTTAGAGGGTTCTCAAAGTTACACTAACTTATTTCTTAACATGACTGCTTGCCGAGCGCGCGCCCCTGCCCTGCGTACCCCTCCACCTTCCACCCGCCGTGTAAATTGGGCACTGCTGTTTCCCTTTGACCACGGAGGCCCCTCGGGCTCGGAGGTGAGCAGGTCCGGCATCAGCCACCCAGTAAGCCGAACACCTAGGCTTGGGACCTCGTCCCGGACCGCCCAGGTGTCCCGTCCACTCCACCACCTCTTCCCCAGAGAGCAGAGGATGAGGACGGAGCTGTCGGGCCCAGCCGCCTACCCCATGGCCCAGCGCTGCTCCAGTGCAGAAGAAAATCTGCGCGCAGCCTTTGCCGCCAGGGCCGGCCCTCTGAGCGCGCGTCATTGTGAATGGAAGGTAGTTTGGGAAAGAGAAAACGATACTTGCCGTTTCCTCCTTGTTTAGATCTGTTTACCCATTCGGCCCAATTCTGAATCTTTATCGCAGTCTAAGTTGCGGAGTAAACAGTTTCCTCCTGAGCACCGTCCAACTGGGGAAACGCTTTGCACAGCTGATGCTGGTTTTTGTCCCTGCTTGAATATTACGCGTCTCCGGGTACTGGGCGCCGTGGGGTGGGGTGGGGTGGGGTGGGGTGGGCTTATCGAAGTTCTGCTCACTGCGAAACACCTTCTCTTTGGCCAACTGGGCGGAAGGAGCAGATGCGGGTTTTGAGCACGGGCGCCCCGGCTGCGTGCTTTGCAGACGTTACCTCTTCTTTCCTAATTACCCCTCTTTACGTGTGACTCAAAGCTGGTTTCCTCACCAGACAGAGTAAAGCAGGCCCAGCAAAAGGGACAGGATCAGAGTTTGAACTGCAGATCTTCCAGCTTCCCTGGCTCTTCTGGGTGTGAGGGCTGCACGCTGCCCAGGGGCAGATGTGGGGGAAGCCGCTGTGAGGGCTAGAGTTCTGGGACGCGCTTCCTCAGTTTGCTTCCCCGTCCTAAAAGGGTGCAGTTGGCCAAGCAGTGCCTCCTGCTTTGGGGGGCAGCATGAGGGTGATGGTCGTCCCCGCATCCTTCTTGCCACGGAGACATGCCCGTGTCCCGTGCGGCTGGTCTGGCGGAAAGGCAGTCCATGCTGCTGGTGTGGGAGCACGGTGCGTGCTCGGCAGTGAGAGCGTGTCCAGGTGCATCTGTGGCTCTGCAGCCGCTCTGCCACCAAGGCCAGGTGCATGGCGCTGCCCTCAGGGTCATTCTGGCTGAAGATTCTAGAATTTCAGGGCATATTCTGGAAAGAGCAATCGCCAGGTGACTTAAAAGTCCATATTCATCCCCTTTGGCCGTGTGTGTGATTGGCATCATTTTCCTTTTATTTCCTTCATTTAAAACAATGGAAAATTTTATTTTGCGCAGTTCATGACGTGTGAATGGCTCACCCAAGCCCCTCAGCCGCGTGGCCACCTGGGTCCTTGTGGCAGCCCTGTGAGGCCGGTACCCTCACCTTCTCTGTGTCACAGGTGAGGCGTCGGCCCCGGTACACCTAAAAGTAACGGCCTGGCGTTGACTGTGACCCTGGGTTCCAGCCCCAGGAGCTGGCGCCTTGAGTCCCATTTTGTTCCTTACTTCGCTTGTAATTCTGTCGGGCGCTTTCTGTTGCCAGCATTTAAAAGTCAGATGCTTCCTTTCTAGTAGAGTTCACACCGTCCTGCACGGTGGCTACAGCCCTCAGTGTCGCGCGCTGGTTTCTGACAGACTCAGTGTTGCTTTCCGCCCGTCTCCGTGGTGCGTCTTCAGACCAGAGCAAGGGAACGCAAAGGCAAACCACACCCACCACGGCAAACACGGCGTCCAGGCCCCACTCCAGGAGAGGACGAGCCTCTGCCCGTGGGAGGCCTCGGCCTCGGCCTCCCCTAATGGGGGCCAGTGGTCCTCGGCTGGTGCTGAGGATACCGCACGCAAAGCTCCAGGTCACAGACCAGGCGACTTCTGTTCAGCGACCATCTTACTGGCCGTGTCAGCCAGGTCTTCTGAGTTGCCTGACGAGGGATGCACGTCCCTGGGCCATGGAGCCCTCTGCGGAGGCTCCAGGCACCAGTTGTTGGTGGGGGGCTGTGGTGTTAGGTGCCCCCCGCTGCAGCAGCTTCGGGAGGGACACGCTCAAGCCTCCGGCCACAGAAGCCTGCCGACCTCGGCACCTGGACCAGGGGGTGTGCTGGGAGCAACGAGGCTTTTGAAACTAGTCTGCAAGTGAAGACCCTTCCCAACGGGTGGCAAGGCCTGGCCCCCATAGTACCTGTCTTGTTGGGTCCAGCCTGGTGCCCCTGTTGGCTCTTCTGTGGATTCTCCTCCAAGCGCAAGCCCCTGCTCACCCACCTGCTCCGGCCCTGCAGCCTCAGCCTCGGGGTTCTGGTCTTGGGAACAAGGGGACCCCTGACTTTTAAAAGGATCTGAAGAGAAAGGGGCAAAACTGCCTTCTGTGGGTTTAAGGATTTATTTATACAAGAACTGGGGTACAGGCCAGAGACTTCACCAGAGTGGGGAGCAGAATAGGCAGATGGACCGAAAACACTGCTGAGGGGAGCAGTGGGCGAGGCAGGACACTGCAGAGGCTGAGGATGGCTTCGCAGCATTCAACCCGCTGTGCCACCGGGGAGGCCCTGCCTTCTGTGGTTTTTGAGGAATCCTGGAGGCTGGAAAACTGAAAGTGGGCACATGGGATCCTGCTTTGGACGAGTTTTCCAACCAAGCAGTCCCCGACATGTCTGGCGGGACCATCTCAGGGCAGCGTGCAAGGGGCCCATGTGGGAAGAGCCAGTGAGGTGCCGGGCGGGGCCCCCTTCCCACCCCATTCTCTGCTCTCCCCTTTCCTTCTTCCCCCCCACCCCATGCTCTCACTCGTGGAATCAGGAGGTGGGCAGGTGCAGGCAGGGGTGCACGTGCCCGCTGGCGCCAGGTCTCCAGATCAGAGTTGAGGCCGAGGCCGGGGTGGAGGAAGAGCGTGCCGGGGAGCAGCTGGCGAGGGGTTCAGTTGCTCATGGCGCTGGAGTTAGGATACAGGGAGGTTATAGGAGGCGCCTCCAGTGCAGGTTCCCTGGGGCCAGACCCCCCCCCCTTTGTAGCCCCTCGTTCAGCCTTTTTGGGCCTGCACACTAGGTGGGGGAGGCTGATGGAGGCCCTCCAGGGCGCTGCTGCTTGCTGGGAATGGCTTTTGCAAACGCACAAGGGGGAGGTACACGGAGAAGGCATGGCAGCGTGTTGAGCTGTGTGGTCTTGCATGCCAGAGTGCTCTCGGGCGGGCTCTGCTAGGTCTCAATTGCGGTAATTGTCTCCCCACAGCGAGACCTGCCCCCGCAGCCCAGCCTCTCAGACGGTGGCCGAGGAAGCGCTGGTTCTCCCTGTCTTGCTGCCCATCGCTGAGCACTTAGAAGCCTCTAAGACGCCTGGGGTGCCCTCACCCCGCAGCGCTCGGGTCCTCCTGGCAGCGCGGCGGGGCAGCGGACCAGCGTCCTCGGTTCTGGTTGCCAGATGGAGAAACAGGCCCTTGCGGGTGGGAGTGGGTTTTTAAGGTCACAAAAGACACGATGCCCAAACTAGAGGGACCTTTGTTTGCCTCCTGGTTCTGTGTATTCTGGGGGGAAAACCAACGTGTTTAGAGAGAACTAGTGTGGTGAGGTCAGAGCTGGTCTCCGCTGCCACGCGGGCTCGGGAGAGCACTTGCGCACCTCCGCGGCCACGCGCGCCCTGGCCCGGCCTGCTGCCCTCCCAGCTGCTTGGGCAGAAATCAGCATGGCCTCCCCTCCAGGACCCCCCGGCTCTCCAGACCGGGATCCTGTGTCTAGGGCTTTCCTTGGCCAGCTTCCCACTCTGAAGCTCCTGCTCTCCCCCACCCGCTCCAGGCTCTCGGCCCCTCCCTTGGTAATTGCGCCAGGCCTGGACCCTGACTGCCTCCTTCCGGGTGCCCTGCGGCTCTGCTGGCATCTCCACTGTCCCCAGCCTGCCCCAGCCCCCCCACTTCCAGCCCCAGGCCGTGTCTCCGAGTTCGCCTTGTCACCTGCCGTCGCTAGCATCACTGGCAGCATGTGTCCTGTTGAGATTTCTCGAGGCCATTGAAACTTCGGGCGAGTTCGGAAAGTGCTTGGCTCGCCCTGAAGTCCCAGCATTAATCCTGCTGTGTGGTTCTTGCTTCCCTTTAGTGCCGCCTGGAGTGTCAGGAGGACCCCTCGGCGAGCACCTGGAGGTGGCTGCGGCTCGGACGGGGCCTCCGAGGAGCTGCCATGCGACGCCGCCCTGAGCTCCCGAACCTCCTCCGGAGATGCAGATAAAGAAGATGAAGGAGACGGGGCAGCAGTCCTACGCGGCAGGGGCGCTCGGCGGGCGGGGTGCCTTGAGTATGTCGCCCAAGCAGCCCAGCGCCAGCAGAGCCCCCCGGCCTGAGCGGCACGGCGCCCCCGCCCTGCTGTACCCGGGCGTGGAGGCAGAGGCCGCCCTGCTGAGCAGCGCCACGTGCACCCAGTGCCGCAGCGTCCACGATGTCCCCCTGCACGACTTGAACAAGGGCCCGGGGTCCAGCCAGAGGGAAGACGGGTATGTCTGCTTCAGGTGCAACTTCAGGGTGGCGCCCACCCCCTTGCACTACACCAGCAAGAACCCCAGCCCCACCCGCGTGGCTCAGGACACGGAGCCCGCCGTGGACTCGGCCGGCAACAAGTTCAAGGTGAGGAACTTCAAGCCGGGCAAGCACTACTGCGACAAGTGCCGCTTCTCCACCAAGGACCCGCTGCAGTACCGGAAGCACACGCTGCAGCACGAGGAGATCAAGTTCATCTGCTCCCACTGCAGCTGCGTCTCCTACACCAAGGGCGAGTTCCAGAGGCACCTGGTGAAGCACACGGGCGTGTTCCCCTACCGCTGCGAGTACTGTGACTACGGGGCCGTCAGGAACGACTACATCGTCAAGCACAGGAAGCGGGTGCACGAGCGGCCCGGGGGCAGGCGGCTGCCCCGGGCGGCAGCCAGGCCCGAGCTCCACAGGGTGGGTGCCAAGCCCAGCCCGGAGCCATCCAAGGCAGCCAGCCCCAGGGGCGCGCTGCAGGGCAAGGTGTCCGACCACCTGGCCCGGTTCCCACCCCCCGCCCCCCAGGACGAGGGGCACAGCCTCCTGCCTCTGCCCGAGCCGAAGGGCTTCCAGAAGGACGTAGTGTGTGTTCCTAACAGGGGGGCCCTGGCGGAGCCCGGTGAGGCCGGGCTCTTCGAGAACAAGAGCGTGGAGGTGGAGGTGCTGTCCCCAGCCCAGGAGCCCGTGCAGCCGGGGGTGCCGCTGACCGTGGTGGCGCCTGCCGAGCTGGTCGTGCCAGCCAACTGCCTGGCCCAGCTGATGGACGTCAAGGTGGTCAACGGGACCCAGCAGCTCGTCCTGAAGCTCTTCCCGCTGGAGGAGAGCAACGGCCTGGACACGGCGGGAAGAGACTGGGGCGACGCCGAGCGGACGGCCAGAGACAAGGGCTCCTGGGAGCGGGAGGCGGCAGCCGGAGCGGAGCCCACGAAGGCCCTGGCACTCGAGGGGGATGTGGGGAGGCTGGCGGGCCTTCATCGCCTCCAGGCGTCCGTTCAGAGGCGACTCAAAGACATGAAGTGGGTGAGGTCCTACGAAGTCTTCATGTCCAATTCCAGCGCGCACGGCCTCGGGGAGTCGCCCCTCAGCCCCGAGGTGGCCGAGGAGCTGCAGAGGAAAAGTCACTTTTATCTCCACAGAACAGATCTTCCTGCTTTCGCCTTCAAAGGCTCCTTGCCCCCGTCGTCTGTGATAAAAAATGGTGTTTTGTGTGATCTGGGCAGGGCATCAAACACTTTTCCTTATAAAGCTGCTGCTGCTTTCCCTGAGCACAGAAGAGGTTCGCACCGCGAGGCCCCGCCGCCATTCCCCTTCCCTGTGGCCGCCCCCCACTCTGCCGACAAGGGCTTGCTGCCCGCCAGCAAAAACGGCTTGGCGCCCAGGAGGGAGCTCGCTGTCCGCGCGCGCGTGGGCTCCGCCAGGAAGCTGGGCCTCCAGCCCGAGCAGCCCCACGCGGCCCCCAGTCCAGGCCAGGTCCCCTCTCCACCCAGAGGCGAGTGTCCACCCCGAGCGCTGCCTGGGGAGGGCAGGGCCCGGCCGCCCGCGGACTCACCTTGGGACTTAAAGAATTCTGAAAGGACTAGTGACTCTTTCGACGGCCCCGTCATCTCGTCCGTGTTTTCTCTGAGCTCCGGATCCGAGAACGTCCCCGAGGGCATTAAGTGGAGCAGCTCAACCTCCAAGATAAAGTCAATTGAGCTCTTGCGCAAGAAGATAGCCAAGCTGATCGAATCCTGCGGCAAGCCTTCGTCTCTGGCCGCGAGCGCGCACGGGCCGCCTGGGGGCCAGGCCTCGAAGATCGGCTCGAAAGCCGTCCCAGAATGTCATGGAGAAATCATTGGCTGTTCCTCGGGCACCCTCTTAAAACCTCGGGGTGACGGGAGGGCTGGTGGGCTGCCGCCTCACCCACAGATGCGTCCACAGTTTGCGGACGGCCGCCGCGGGGACGCTGACGGCAGGGCCACCAGGAAGGCCCACGTGGCCACCCCTGTGCTGATCCCCAAAGGGGCGGTGCTGAGGGTTCTGAACTCCTCGGAGGATGCCCACATCATAGAGGCCACGTGCGACACGCCGGTCAGCATCCCCTGCAGCAAGACGCAGTTAATCAAACCCCTCCCTTTCTGCCCAGTGAGACACGCAGACTCGCGCGCCCTGCCCGGTGCTGGTGGGCCTGCGGACTCGCACCCTGACCCCAGCCTGGCTCTTCGGCCTAAGCCAAGGAAAGAGAGCGCTTTCTGTAGCCTCGCCCCAAAGAAAGCGGGCCCCCCGCAGGTCCAGCAGGGGAGCGGTGCATTCAGCAAGCCTGGAAAGCTCCTTCCCCGAAGTCTTCCAAGTAGTAAAAATAAAACCAGACAAGTAAACCCCTCCAAGAAGAAAAGCAAAGTGCAGCCCGACCCCGGCCGCTGCCTCAAGGACCCCGCCATCCTGCAGGTGGCCCGGCAGCTGCGCCTGGTTGCGGCCAAGCCCGGGCAGCTCATCAAATGCCCCCGACGCAACCAGCCGGTCATCGTGCTGAACCACCCCGACGTGGACTCGCCCGAAGTGACCAACGTGATGAAGGTCATCAACAAGTACAAGGGCAACGTGCTCAAGGTCGTCCTGTCAGAGCGGACACGCTGCCAGCTGGGCATCCGGCGGCACCACGTCCGACTCACGTACCGGGACGTGGAGGAAGCCAACCAAGTCAAAAGGCAGATGATGCTGAAAATGAAACTGAAAAAAGTCCATAAAAACAACTACCAGGTGGTAGGCCCCCTGCCAGACGACGCCGCGCCGTGCATCTTCAAGTGCTGGTTCTGCGGGCGGCTCTACGAGGACCAGGAGGAATGGATGAGCCACGGCCAGCGGCACCTGATCGAGGCCACCCGGGACTGGGACGTTCTCTCTTCCAAGGTCAAATAAGCTTTTTTTTTTTTTTTAAAGAAAAAAAGGTCTTTGTAGCAAATTGGTTTTTAGTGGGTTGCAGGTCAGGTTTTCCTCCCCCTCCCCGACTCAGGTGGCAGGGAGGGAGACGCCCGGTCCCTCAGGTCCCTCACAGGACAAGGGGCGGGCGCTGGCCTGAGTGGGACTCGCCCTTGGAAGGCCCAGAGCCCCTAAGCAGGACACGCATTTCTGTCACGCATTCCTCTGGAGACAAGAAGCGAGACTGCCCAGCTTTTCCGTAGGACTTTCCACTGTGTAGCTCCCTTTTCTGTGTCGATCACGGCGGGCGTGATGCGTTCAGAGGCCCCCGGTCAGAGTGTCGCGTTCTGGTGTGACGGAACCTACTGAGGGATCCCGCCCGGGCTGCTGTGCACACCCACCAGCTGCTGCTTTAACCTGATGCCTGAATGTTTGATGCAGGACGAGAGCTGTGTTTTCTGTTAGTCGTCTTAAGTCTGTTCTAGAAAGTGGCTGGCCCCTTCTCTCCCGGACCTGTTCTGTAATTCTCGCAAGTGTTTGACTTAACCCAGAATTAGGCTTTTCAGTTGTTGGCTGTTTTAAGAGAATGAGTCCATGGAATTGCCTGAATAAACTACTTCAGAGGCAAGGAAGGAAAGAACGCACCTTCAAGCTTTGGGGTCTTTTTCTGCTATCTTCGTTTATGACAGCTGGGGCTGGGAATATGCCTTTTTTTTTGCAAATGAAAAAATGGATCAAGCGAGGGGAAAATACCTAAAATTAAGTTCCCGCCTGTCCTTCCCGTATTTACAGACGTTAAGGAGTCACCTTGAAATGTGGACAGGCCCCTACGACACACACACTTGGAAAACATTCAAGGCAGGACTGGAGAGCGAGCTGTGACTTTGACCTTAGTTTTCACCTGGGAGTTGGCACAGATGTGGGGGAGGAGGTCCTCATGGCTGGGGGTCACAGCCCTGCTCCCCGGCCCTGCGCCCGCTCTTAACCCTGGACCGACCGCTTCCTTGCCCGCCTCCTGTTTGCAACCTTTGAGCCCCTGTACGCTTTCCTCATGGAAATATTAAAAACAAGCAGGAATCAACAAAATGCCCTCCCCACCCCCACCACGTCAGGGTGTAGGAACCGACCCTGTTTTCCCTCGGTGGTAAGAACCTGCCACTGATTCCTCTTCGCCACACCCTTGCCTTCCGGGCTGACGTGAGGCGAGTCCAGGACACCCATTCCTCTCCGGCCCTCTGCCAGGAGACGCTGGGACGGCTGCTGGTCCCGACAGCACCCCTGGGAGCTGGGGAGCCGACCCTCAGCCTCCTGCTCAGCAGCTGTAGACGGGGATTTTGGTCCTCACTTGCCCTCCCAGCAGAGCGCCCACCTTCAGGCAGAACAGAAGCGGCTCAGCCAGGAGGCAGCCCAGCTGGGGTTCCTCCCTGGAGGAGCTGCTCCCACTTGGGGAACTTAGCGGCACCCCCACCTTTAGCTCTGACAAGGACAGGAGCAGGTTCTACACTGTTGGGAGCCAGTGGGAGGCGTCCTGGTTTTTTTCCCACCCCCGTAGACTGTCCTCTGTTGGGGGCTGTTGATTTTTATTCCTTGGTTCTCATTGCAATGATGGGCGTCTCTTGCTGTCCTTCAGTTCGCGAGCGTGAAGTTGATTACTGGTTCATTTTGATCGAAACTTAAAACTTGGATTTTTTTTTTTTTTACGCGTACACATTCTTTTGTCATGGAAACAGTAGCTAATTTTCCGAGTTCCTATTTTGTAAAGAAATGATGTGGACCAGGGAATATAAAAAAAATTTTATATGCTAGAAATAATTTATTTTGGAGGCACACTTTTATAACAGTCTGATCTCATTTTTAGCAAATGAAAGCAGAGCCAGCGACAGGGTTGCTTTCTAGGAACAACCGGGAGTGGGGGCCCCCGAGGCGGCTCCGTGCAGTATTTCAGCCCCCGCGTCTGGTGGGTGCCTCCAGGGGACGGGCCACGGCCCCTCACCACGTGCCCGGGGTACGCCGAGCGCTTGCGCGTCTGTAGATTTGAACCGCTGCAGCGTGAAAGACGCCTAAGGCCCCCAAAGGAGAGAGAAGGCTGTGATTTTTTTTTCCCCCCCTTTCTATACCTCACTGCTTAGTAGCATCGTTCCCAGAAGGCTAGACCAGACCTTTCAGGAAAGGTGACCTTGACTGTGAACCAGACTGCAATGTCCAGCAACAGCACAGAATCCCTACACTCTGCAGCCTCCGCCGTTACCCGAGTGTTGCCTAGAGCGCGCCGTGTCTCCTCGGCAGAGCAGAACTGTGCGAGTCGCGTCTGTGGCTAAGCTCTGGGGGACTTCAGAGCTGCAGTGCTTTCGGAGGAAGTAAGGATCCCCAGAGGCGGAAGACTGAGACCAAGTAAGAGGCGGTCTTTCGTGTATAAAAAACTGTAGCACTAGCTTGTTCTCGCAGGTCAAGGCCCAGAAACAACCATTTCTAACACGGAGGCCGAGGGGCAGAACTGTGTGAAGTATTTGTGGACTTTTTCTTACCGTGATGTTGAAGGACCTCTACTCAGTAAATTTTATCAATCGTACTAATAAAATTATTTTAAACTTATTTTTTAAAGTAGATTTTCTTACTTTTGGGCATCAGAAATGAGATGATCTTGTTATATTTATGATATGACAGTGAAAATTTAAAAAAGACTCAAAGTATACGCTAATAGATTATATTTTCCTTAAATTTCTATCCCCAGCCCCCCACATTTGTGAGCTCCTATTTTGGGCCAAGTGCTGTTTGTTGAACCAAACTGAACAGTGTATGCCCCGAGGTGCCCCCCCTGCTCCTCCAGGCCACGCCGTCTGCGCCACCCCGGAGACCAGGCTGCGCCGCTGCTCAGCCTGCGGAGGCACCTGGAGTCTGTCGTATGAGCAGAAAACAAAACATTGCGTGACTTGTTCTAAGTGTTACGGTTGTGAGTCCTGTGTCAGCCGTCGGTGTCTGCTGCGCTGGTTTTGAAACACATTTGTACATAGGTCTAGAAGTTGGCATAAATTTTGTTAAATAAAGCAACTGTAAAATCTTCTCTGCCCTTTCATTTCCAGTGATGGCTGTCACACGGCCCTCCCCGTGCCGAACCGTGTTAAGTAAAGGTGGCCCTTCTACACGACACGGGCTTGGCACCCCCCCCCCCGGGGCCATGGCCCCCCAGCTGCCTGGCCACGCCTGCCATGAAACTGGGGTGCTGGTGAACTATTTAGCAATATCTAAACCCAAAGAAGTAATGTATTTTTTTTTTTTTTAATTACGGTAACTTTACAACATTGGACAGCACCGTCCAGTTGGTCCTCTTCCCATTTTTATCCCCTTCCCCTCTGGCAACCACCACAACTAGACCCTGGAATACTACTCGGTCATGAAAAATGGTGAGATCTTGCCAGTTATGACAACATGCATGGAAGGAACTGGAGGGAGTGATGCTAAGTGAGAAGTCAGAAGGAGAAAGACAATTTCACTATTTCTCTGATTCCTAATGGCATAATACAGTTCACTGCTCAGTGGACATTTTAACTTCTCATGTATGACTTGGCAGTATTCTCTAAAATTCATATATTTTCTCCCCTATGTTTTGGTGCTTCCTATGCTTTATTGCAAGAATCTTTCCCAATCTTGAAGTCAAAAAGATGATCTTTTACATTCAAATTGATAGTAATGATAAATCCATGTAACAGCTGGTGCCAAATTAAAAGAACTGACAGCTTGGTCAGTCATGGGGTTGAGATAATTACTTTGAAATAAAGCATTAAATCATGTTAGTGCTCAAAATCCTGAGACTGAAAAAAAACCAGATAACAAAACTCATCGAAGAGGTGTGTCTCCCCTGGGAAGCCCGCTGCAGACCAGGGAGCCTTCCTGCTGCCTGCCTGGGGACACTTTCCAGAGGGCAGAGGACAGCATGGAGAAGCAGGGGTGGAGGCCAAGAGGGGGCTGGCTCTTAGCTGCCTCTGCTAGGGGGTGACCAAGCCACGTCGCCACAGTCCTTGGGCTGGAATTAGTACGTCAGTGTCAATTACCTGCAAGGGGGAACGGTGGCTGGCAAGTGGGGGGAGCACCTGGAATATTCGGTCAGCAGCAACTTGCGGTGGCTGAGCAAGTCACTTACCCTCTGCGCCCCAGGGCATCTAGTAGTAGCCTCACTTCCACCTCCAAAACTGAATGTTTTATATCTTGCAGGATTACTACAAGAATTCAAGTGGCCAGCACGGTGTCTCAGATGCTAAGTGTCTCAATCCAGAAGTATTTACTTACTCACTTATGAAACAGCTTTCTGGGGCCATCTCGAGAAAGCAAGATCCTTCCCTCCAAGTGGCCTGGAGAACTTCCTATTCAAAGTGTGGTCTTTCCACCAGTAGCCTCTCCATCACCCGAAAGTGCTAAGGATCTCTGGCCCCACCCCTAACCTGGGAATCAGTCTGCACGCCCCTGGGGCCTGTGCGCTTTACGGCCACTCGAGCAGCACTGGCCTGGAACAGGAGGCCGCCTTCGCCCTTCATCTGGCTGACTGTTTCTCGGGAACACCTGCTCCGTGCCTCCCCACCCCTCTGGGACTGGGGATTAGGCGTTGCCATGGCACTGCCATTGCTCTGGAAAGTAAAAGAACACGGCTGAAGGTCCAGGGGGAGGAGGGCGCTGATCAGAAGCAGCACGTGCTGCCCACCCGGGGCTGTGACGGGGAACAGGAGCTGGGCTGCAGGGTAGGAGGACCTGCCCCAAGGAAGAAGGCGGGAAACTGAAGGGCCTGAGTCAAGAGAATCCTCCCACCCCCAGCACCTCTGGCCTGCACCCCAGCTCTCGTACGCCTAAATAAATACATCTTTGAAAAAAGAAATCCAGGCTCGCAAAGATGGAAGTGGATGCTGCCGCCAGGTCAGGGCTCACACCTGGGGTGGCCACTGCTGCTTCCAGAGCTGCCCCTGTGGCTGGTTTCCACGTAGCTGAAGGTAAGACTGCCGGGTCCTCAGGCCTAGAAAGCTCGCAATTTAAACTCTGAGTCTGAAACGCACTGGTTGACAATGCAAACCATCCAGAGGACCTCATGAAATACAGGTGCCAGCTTAGGATGTCCGAGGCCAGTCCTGGGCCGCCACCATCCCAGCTGCACGCCCAAGTTGCTCACAACTTGCTGTCACGCGTCCTCACTGGGCTCACAAGCCTCACTCGCCACTCACCCTTCAGGCGTAGCTCACGGAGCCTGGCGTCCCGGGCCTCAGGCCAGGCAGAGCCTAAGCTTGCGCATCTGTCCCTCCGCGTCACCCTTGAGGACTGGACCCTGGGGCTCCTCAGAAGATAATTTGAAGCATGGACCACCTAGGAGTGTGAGTCATAAACTTCTGGAACCAGCGCCGCGGAGACCCGTGCTGCTGCTCTCTTGGTTTTAAGGCTCATAGGGAGATGGGGCAGAGGCAAAATCACATCCTCCCACCATCTAGCCAGAACTTTCCTCACTGTTCTGAAATTTGGCTCCAAACTGTTTTGAGGAACAGAAACAATTTGGCTCTCAGAAATGGCAACAGTAGCCTTACCTGTTAGAGATGGAAGAGCTGGTGGGTCCCTGGTTTCTTACCTCGATCAGATAGTCTCGGTCTTTCAGCTGATTGTGTATATGACTCCTGGAGGGGGCGAGGGGAGGGAGTGCTCTCTAGTCTTCATTCTGTGTGGTAGACATTTCACTAAGAAATCCAAAAGGAAAATTGTGATTTAGAACTCAAAGGTTTCTCCAGTAAAATGGAAGAAGGGATTGTCAACAGGTATTTTTGCCAGCAATCCACACAAACACTCTCTAAAACTGGCAATCATCTGTTTGTTCGAATACAGTTAGAACTGAGAGTTGTAGGAAAGCTAAAAATATTTCTTAGGGCTGCGCTTTTTAAGGGCAAAATACATCTTTAACCTGCAAAATGTGGGGGTTGAACTAGATCCTAATAATGCTAGTAAATATCCATTTAGGAGAAATCACAGCCACTTTCAAAATAAAAAGGATCTTAGAAATAGCACAAACCTCAAAACCCCTCACTAGTACCTTTGCTCTCCGTTTTATCTGCCTTCTCTTATCAGGAAGTCTCTAACTGATTTTTCACATTTGTCTTGATTGAACCCTGTGCAATTTTTTTTTTTTTTTTGAGTCAACATTGGTTTTCAACTTTGTATTTGGTCTTCTTGATGTTTCAATTTACAGTGAAAAGGGAGTTTGAGAGGAACATTCTAGAAAGAAGGAACAACATGAAGGTCCATTGGTGGAAAGTGATGCAATGTTTGGAAAAGAGCATTCTGCTTGGCTGTTCCTGGGCAGATTCAATCTTTGAATAAAGTTTTTCTGTGGAGCAACATTATATTCCAGCATATGCAGTTATTTCTGGATTTCATCACCAGAGCACTGGAGATAATATCTGATGTGATATAGACATCGATCCCCAAGCACATTTCAGATAAGCTGCTGTTTTGGCTTCTTAGAGCTGTCCAGCCCCCTGGGCTCCCATGACAGCGTGGCCGGAGAGGGGCTCATATTCCGCTGTCAGTCTCACTGTCGGGAGGCGGGAGGTTCCTGGAAACTGACTTAAAGCCAAACGACGCATATTGGAGGCAGGTCCTCCCTCCCCGACTGGGGGTGTTTTTATCAACATTCTAATGAGCTGACATTGAACACAACACAACCATGGACCTCCTGCTTCCTCCACCCCTAGCTCACAGAGTAATATTCCTGCCCTTCTCCACGGGCACAGCACCTGCCGACTAGGGAGAGTCCACTCAAAAGCAGAACCAAGCAGTTAAAGCCAAGTTGTTCCCATAAGCCACAAACCGAACAGGAGCTGAGCAGAGCTGGAGAAGGTGAGGAAAGCTGGTTCGTTTAACTTCACTCTCCTGTGGGTAAGAGCCCATGACCGCGCCTGGACGCCCTGTTTCCTGCCTCCCCCACCCCCTGGCTTCTGCTGCAGTGTGCAGTCTGCACTGGGCAAAGTGGAGAGGCCGGGATCCACCTCAGCGATAACCGGAAGGTCCTGCAAGTCAGGCCGAAAGCCCGCTGTTGACCCGCCCGGCCCTTCTGCAGTGACTCCAGAGCGTCCTTCGTGGGGGGAGCGCAATGACCCGGAAGCAGCAGCCGGGAGCCCAGCGGGACAGAAACTGCTCTGCATGGCCAGGGCTGTGGAATCCTACATGTTTGAGAATTGTTCTATTTCCTTGAAGAATGTCATGTGAGATCTCCTGGCCCCACCGGTCCCGCCCTCAGCCCCGAAGGGTCCTCTTGCCAGTCCCAAGAGTTAGTCCTAAACATTACACACGACACGCGTGCATTTATTTCAAGACGCAGGGACCTCAGTCGCGTGGGATCAGAGCTGGCAGAGTGTAGCCGCCACACTGAACACCCGTCCTCCCAGCCAGCATGCTCAGGGCCCGCGGGCCCTCGCAGCCAGCGTGGTGCGCTAAGAACAAAGGGAGGTGCAAAGGCTGGTGGGCGCACTGCACCCCAGGTGTGGACAGCTTGAGCTGCAGACGCACTTAATTAGGAGATTAGCCCCTCAGATCCTCCTGCTAAGAGTGTGATATATTCATCACCACAACAGGCCCCGTTGCCACAGAACACCCATTTTATTGCTTCTCATGCACGTGGCCCCAGAAATTCTCACCAGTTGCCACGGTATTTACACCAGTTAGCTGCTAATTAGTTACCTGGTGCCTGACAAACATTTCACAACGAAAAACAACTCCTGTGCCTGTTTTACAGGCGGACCCTCTGCATGTGGGGAGCACGGCGCCAGCTCTCTGCTATGGTGCCCATGTGGGTGTTGAATGCAAGATTTGCAGTTAATTTTTATTAAATAACGTTCATTTTCAAATCGCCTTTTTCTGGATTTAAAGATCAGTTTAAAATTCTGTATTTCCAATTTTTCATTTTCCCTTCTTTTGTAGATAAGCTCACATTTTAAACTATTTGAAAATAAAAAAAATTTTTAAATACATGAAATTTAAGTCATTCCTGCCGGTAGAATGCACTATAAAAATCACGGCTCTAGCAGCTGGTGACTTAGCTGTGCTTAAGGCAGCATAAACCGTCTGGAAAGCAACTCAAGTGTTTGTAAGCGGTGCCTGTGCCTGAGCACTGCAGCCCACGGGCAGCAACATAGGGTCGCCCAGTTAAGCCGGGTCATCTCTGGCCTCCTGGTGGCATCCAGTCCTCTGAAGCCATAACTTAGACATGTTACAAGTTCCTTGTTGAGATCATACTTGCCAAAGCAGGACAGAGCACGTCAATTGAGCTAACAAGTGATCAAGTCAATAATTGCTAAACAGATGTGTCTGCACCCCACCTGGCGGATCTGCAAACAGCTAAGCCAGCTGTCTCCCCCTTCCGGCCTGCAGCCTCCTTGGCACTTCATGGTTCCGAGAGTATCACGCCCCGGCCAGTGCACCTGAAGATGAGCTCGCTTGGCCTGGAATCCCTCTGGGTGCTTTTGCTTCTGTTGGTGTAGGGTAAGGTAAAAGTATCAGGCTTTTCTGCCCTCCCGCCATTAGGATAGATGAGGGAACCCTGTGGTCCTGAATGCATGCCCGATGGCGGGCACCTGGAGTGGGTACACCTGGGCTGAGAGACTGAGTTTATAAGGGCGGCATCGTGGGGACCCCAGCAGAAGCCGAGAACGAGCAGAAGCCAAGAGAACACCAGAGCCCAGATAGTGAGGATTTGTGGGGGGCTGGGAGGACTGCCAGCCTCCCGGCCCCCCAGCACCCCTGCCTGCCCTGTGCCTGGTAAATCTTAATAAAAGACCTGCACAAGCCACTAAGGACTCTGACTCCTCCTTTACCCGGTCTGCTGGGTCAGAAAACCTGCTCCTTGGCCCATTCCTGCCCCTACAGTTGGCGTAAGTCAGCAAGATGATCATGCAGACGGGTATGGAGCCCTCCGAGGACCTGGAGGGACTCAGGAGTAACAGACTGTGTTTGCCGATGACGCTGGAGGCGTCATGGCAGCACAGGAGACGGACAAGGTCCGGGAGCTGCGGGACGAGACCTCGCCTGCCGGAGACGCCTGAGAGGACCAGCCCAAGACGGCCGAGGCAGCAGAGTCGTCAGGGACAGAGAGGAGCACGATTCGGAGCTCGCCGGTGCTGACACAAGGAGAAGCCTCTGGACTTGGGACTAATGGACTGACAATCCCACCAGAAGGTGGAGAACCTTGGCAGGTTATGTTTTTTGGGAATCTGGGGGTGGCCAGTGGGCCTCAGTGGCCAAAAGCAGCCTGTGTACTGCCTGGCAGCTAGGTGGAGGGAAAAAGCCAATTTTGAGAAGGCAAAAAAGGCTGGTACTAAGTTGAGAAGCCCTGAGCGGCTGTCAAGCAGCCTGAGTATGCTGAAGACCAGCTCTGCGAGTCGCATTGGTAGCTATGAAAGCCAAATGTCGGAGCGACTGCAGACAGAAACCCTGAGGGTTGGCAATTACCCTCAACAGTATAGAATCGCCAATCCCAGAGTGAGCGCATCCCGGAGTAGATGCTGTGTGTGGCTTGTAGCTGAGAACACAGCCAGAAGGCCAGGAAGCCTGATTGCTCTTGGCGTGTTGCAATAGATGCCATGAGTGGTTCCCCTCCCTCGTATGAGCAGTGTCTTCAGCAGCAGATTTGGTGGCTCATCTGCTGGTGCCAATAATTGTCTTTTGCCACTAGGTTGGGGCCCTGCCTGGACTTATTTGTGTTCTGTTGTATTTTATATATTTTATTGTTCTATTGTGATGTATATTTGTTTTTTGTGGGCCATGGCTGCAGTGTTCTATTGCCAAGAGAAACGTATATGACTTGTATAGACTGGCAGAAAACCCTGAGGGGGTGGATTGTAGGGTAAGGTAAAAGTGTCAGGCTTTTCTGCCCTCCCGCCATTAGGATAGATGAGGGAACCCTGTGGTCCTGAACGCATGCCTGATGGCGGCACCTGGAGGAGGGTGTGGGCATAGGTAGATGGGATTCACCTGGGCTGAGACTGGGCTTTTAGGGGCGGTGTCGCGGGGACACCAGCAGAAGGCGGGAGAAGCAGATGCAGAGAAGCAGAAGCAGCACTACCAGAGAAGGCCAGAGAGCCCAGGGAGAGTGAAGACTTGCTGGGGGCTGGGAGGCCTGCCAGCACCCCTGCCTGCCGTGTGCCTGGTAAATCCCAATAAAAAACCTGCAAAAGCCACTGAGGGCTCCGGGACTCCTTTACCCGGTCTGCTGGATCAGAAAACCTGCTCAGTGGCCCATTCTTGCCTCTACAGTTGGACTCATTGCTGTTTCTTGGTTAGCAAAACAAAATTAAAAGACTCGGACATAAAAAGGAAAGAAACTTGCTGCCAGGGAGCCTGCCACAGCGAGTGAGTGAAGGTGTCTGCCTGTGTCATCTCCCAGGGCGGCTGAAACAAAGTGCCCCAAACTGGGGGGCATCAAGAAAGCAGACTCCCTGGAAATGAGTGTCCAACACCGGGGCGCCAGCAGGGCCTTGCTCTCACCAGCGGCTCTCCGGCAGAATCCTTCGCGCGGCCCCCTCGGGTGGTGGTCACAAGGGCTGGAGATCCTGGGATCACTGCACCTGCCCAGCTCCCTGCTTCATCCATAAGGACAGACACCTCCCAGCCGTGACTTCTCACTGCACACCCAGCCAGTGCTCAGCAGCCTTTCTCCCTGGCCCTGGGGTCTTCAGGGAACTGCGTTTCGACCCTCCTGCATAAGGGGTGGGTGGGGTGCAGGCAGAGGCGGGAAGACACCAGCCTAATAACATCTCCCCACATTCTTGCCAGAAGCTCTAGGCACATGGCGAGGCTTCCAAAATGTGCTGAAGGGAGGGGTTTATCCACTTTCAGATTCGTCCTTCCAAGGCAGACCAACGGCGGGAAAGGAGCAGGTTTTGTTGGAAAAAGAACGTCAGGTTCCTCCTTTCATCTGCAGGCACCAGCCCTGTCTCTCGAGCGTGTCACCTGTCGAGCCTGCAGGAGGGGAGCCGACAGGGATAATCGCTCCGTGTGATGTGTTGGGGAAACATGAAAACCAGCAAGTGGGAGGATCCAAGGAAATTCATACGGCTGTCGCTCAGTTCTCAGACACTGAGGGGGAGATCACTGGCGTTCCTGTTCGGCTCCAGCCGAAAGTCGCGGAGCAGAAGGCCGAGGTGAGGACAGCCTCTTGGTCCCCGAGTCACTCGGCCACTGATAGAAGCGGAGTCTGACGCTGCACAGTGAGGGATGAGAGGTAACGGGGACGGACGATGGTGCCAGGGGTTTCCCATCGCCCTCCCCGGCTGCCCAGGGGCTCAGAGCGCCTTCTGGGGACGTAAAGCTGAGCTGAGTCAGGTCTAGCAGGTGTGAGCCGAGCTGGACAAACTCAGCGATGATGGACCGAGGAACTAGTAACCCCAACCTTGCCCCGGGCCGACTGCCCTCCAGTGCAGGCCTTCAAGCTCTTGTAGAAATCTCTTGCCTCCCAGAACCGCCACTATTCACATCCCTGCTTTTCACACGAGGCTAAAGAAGAGAGCGCGTGCCCGGGGTGGCTGGCATGCACCAGGACAGGGGCTCAGTGCCGTCTCCAAGACTAGTTTTCAGAGAAGGGTGTGGGGTTGAGCCAGGCATCCGAGGGTAACCCCAGAGGGCTCTGGCAGTGGTGCGAGGAGACTAGGGTCGCTTTTCCAGTTAAGCGAGGGAGAATTGAAATCCGAGCTGTCGCCTGGCTCGGCTGTGAGGTTCCTTCCCCCTGCCCGGAGCACCGCATCCCCTCAGGACAGGCACCTCAGAGCTGCTGGCCCCAGTGTGGTCTCCCGGCCCCTGGCATTTCACTTTCAAACACACTTTCCTTGGCCGTTAATGTCTTTGCACCACAAAAAAAAAAAAAAAAAAAATGAACAGTTCTGACCACTCTGGCTTCACGAGAGTTTACATTTGCTCCAAATCTGCAGCCTGGCCTGGACTCAGATCAGGCCCAAACTTGAGAACACTTAAACTTGAGAACACTCCGCGGGGAGCAGGGGTGGGGGTCGGTGGGGTCTGGACCCCTTGGGGCGGCAGAAGTGTTCACCGGGTTCTACTGGGGGACAGTCCCTGGCTTGCTTTGGATTCTCAGCGCAGCCTGGGAGCCCAGCGCCCTCACTGTGCAGGCCTGAAAACCCGCCGAGGCACTTAACATCCCTGGGGCCAAAGTCCCACCGCGAGGCCTGGGCAGGGTCAGCCGCCGCCTCCCTCTCAATTCCGCACGACCCAACGCGAGATCATCCTGTGAGACGTGTGGCCAACGTTTCTGCTCCTCTCATGGAGTAACCCCGCACACAACCAGCTTTGTTTTTATTAAACCGTCAGGTCCAAGCGGAGGGAACGTGGGGCGTGCATTGACATTTCAGGACCGGGACTGTCGCCTGACAGCTCCCGCCTGGTGGACGAGCCGCGGGAGGAGCAGGAAGAGGGAGGAGTAGCAGGAGAGGGAGGAGCTTCCCGATGCTGCTGGCCAGGGCCTGGCGGGAGTGTGGATACCCCAAAGTTCCTGGGGTTCTGCAGCTGTCCCAGGGCACCTGGGGACAATGCACCCTGGAGACGTGGAGACCTGCACAGGAGTTGGGCTGGTGCAGAAGGACCCTGGCCCCGGGGACTTATTTTCCTTCTTAGAAAATAGCCCCAAACTTAGAAATAGCCCCTGAACACAGTTCAGAAGGCAGATTGCTTTGTTCCCCCTCAGTTGACATCTGCTGTGTTGTTGCTCTGAAGCCATCACTGGGGTGCCCAGCAGCTGCCCCCAGCGCTCACCAGGTGGCGGTGTCTGACTAGAGGAGAGGCCGCGGCCAGGAGGCCCGGATGACAGCTTAGCTAATTGCTCTCCCAATCCCGGAGGTCCATTCCGGGGCAGCAGCAGGCAACTCTCCGCAGTAGTCATGAGGGCCGGGGGAGCACCAGCTCACGTCAGTGGTGGGAAGCTTGTCCAGGGCCAGCACAACTGGGGATCCTAGGAGCTATGCCGGGACTCGAGTCCAGGTCTGTCGCTCACAGGTTGGAAGAAAGCAGCCATACTATTCCTTCAGTTCACTTAAGTGCCCCGCTGTGAAGTCCAGTCTTCTTTCCAGCAAGAAGCCCTCCTCGTCCACGTCGGCCCAGGCCCCGCCAGCCCTGCCACCTCCACCCTCAAGCGCCCTGCTGGCAGGTCACCCTGCACCCGGGCCGAGCTGCACTCGAAGGGCCAGCCCAGGCAAGAGGGAAACAGCAAGTCCTGCAGAGTCCTCAAGAGTGGGGGGTTCAGGTCTCCCCGTCAGTAGGAAAGGGATTGTATTCTAGCAGTTGGTCTTTTGGTTACATAGGTTTTGTTTTAGATTGTTGCTCAAAGAGTTACAAAATCCATCCTTGTTTTATGCTTCCTTGGCTCATGTACCACTTACGAAACAGGTAAGAGTCTTCTAGGAGGGCCAGATCTGCAGTTCTGGTCACATTTTTTGAAGAGGTCAGAGGTGAGTCGGGGTCCAGCTCCCAGAGAGCACGGTGCTGAGCAATGGGGAGAAACAACTTTAAAATGTTTTGAAACAGAAAAGTAGAGGAAGTTTGCAGGCTGCTGTGTAGCCAGCACGCATTTAATGATTGCTGAGAATCTTGCTCACATGCTGGAAGACAGGAAATCTGTGAAGGTAGACCCTTCCGTGCCGTCTGCCACCCCCGCCAGCTTACACGCCGCCTCGCCTCGCACTCCTCTAGGGTTTCGGATCTACACCACGCGGTGTGTTCCACTTCCTAATACTTCAGGTTTCAAGTTTCTCACATCCCTTCTTTCCCTCCTGGTGCAAGTTAATGGAATTGCTTTGAAATTCCCCAGCCCTTTTTCTTTCTAAAAGTCTCCAAATGAGAAAAGGCAAGCACTAATGTAGCTTAAGCCCCTCAGCCCCCTAGCTCCCCGCTGAGCCCTGGAGAAAGAACCCAGAGCGGCAGACAGACATCGGAGGCAGCGGCTGCGAGCCTGGGGCTCACCAGGGACTTTCTGCCCAGGGTTTTAAGAGTTCCAGATAAAATGAAAGAAAACAATTACATTTTAATTCAAGTTCACATAAAAACATAGAATCCAATTAAGTCATTTGATACTATAATTGCTCTGTGAATTTGGGGTTTCAAAGATGGTTATATGTTTTCTCCTTGACTCTTTAATATGAAATGAAAATGCAAACACATTTTCAATTTTATGTTCACCTATGACCTGTTTTTTGTTTTTTTTTTTTTTTTTGACAAAAAAATAACTGAATTCTTAACACTTGTCTCATAGGTTCAGGTAACCGTTACACTAACATTTAGGGCTATCTAAGCAGATGTTAATTGAATGTAATTGATAAAATGATTATCTGTCCAAAATGAATAGTCACATAATGCAAGTGAGCTGAGAGTTACTCCTTTAACCTTTACTAGTAAAGTCGTATTTCCATGGCAACATCACATCAGAGGTTATGTTGTTCTTCCAATTAACCTTTATTTTCTAAAATCCCCAATTGACAGGCTACTATCATTCTGGAGTTGTTAAATATTCTGCAGTGCTAAGAAAACATTCTCTCATGCTAATGGGGAGGGAGAGACAGATCCTGTGCACAGGGAACTAGGTTTTTCACAACACTCAGGCAGATGAAAATCTGGGCATTATAAGCTGATTTAGGACTGCACATGTGTGGGCATTCATACCCATATCAAATGCACTGGCGTTAACTCAGGAAGAATGGCCATGTCAGTGGAAAGTGGAGAAGTCAGGCTTGAGGACGTGCCATGCCTGAGAGGCGCCACCTGATGAGGGAGGTGCAGGGAGACCTTCACAGCAGGGCATCTAGTCTGTCAGAAGGAAGGTCGCCAGTCAATACGGGCAAAAAGGTCTTTAGAAACGCCAGCCCCCACAGCCCTGGATACCGTGACCCGCATCCCCATCACCAGCTTCACAGGTTTTTATCCTGGGCCTCACCTTGTCTCACGTGTTCTCCCCACGACCCAACGCCAGTGCTGGGTGGGTTTAAAGCCCATGCCCGAGTTATGCCCTTCTACTTGTAAGTTCCCTAGTACCTATCTCAAAAAAAAAAAAAAAAAAAAAAAAATCAGGACTCGAAAAAAGCACCAAAATATAAAACACAGCAGCAGTTCCTTGTCAGCCTCAGGTACCTGATTGTCTCATTGATGTCACAGTTGACTTTTGGATCAGGATCCAAACTACCTAAGCGGGGTGGTGAGGGGGACGCAGCTTTAGGTCAAAGGGGATTTCTTTGTTGAAGAAACAGGGTTATGACTTGTAGAATTCCCCTCACTGTAGGAAAGGCTGACAGCACCCTGGTCTCGTCATATGTTCATGTTAAGACAGAGCCCAAGACGGGTATGTTCAGGAAAGGGATTTGTCGAGGGGGTGCTCAAGAGAGAACAGCTCGGCAGGGCAGGGCCGGGTGCAGAGGAGGTTCAGCCTGATGCTAGGGGAGGTGATTGCCCCTAGGGGCCAGTCCCCCCAGAACTGCCATGTCCAGCCACCAGCGACTGGCGTCCTGGTAATGTCTTGGGGAGGACTTTTTTTTGCCAAAGTAGGGTTCTGGGGACCCCACCAGCAGCTTACGTGATCTAGGGACCCCAAGGGCATGTGCACTCACGTTTGCGTCCTCGGACTCCTATAAATCGCACACAAGTCCAGGGACTTGATCCTGACCAAGTTCTCATCTTCATTAGATTCCTCTGAAGACGGCTGTGAGCTGCCTGCGGCCCTCGCACAGCGCGAGGTCTACCTGCGCTTAGAGACCCCCCCCCATCCCCAGATTGCTCAGTGTTTCAGCCAGAAGCGGACTTAACCGCTTTCACATTGTGAAATTGGCTTATTAACAAAGTGAGTCTGGTTCCATTTAACAGTGTCTGTGCTTCTCACGTCTGTGTTGTAACTCCTCCCAGCGCATGTGTCCGGGACTTGCGGGCGAGTCTGTTTTCTAACAGGCCCGGAGGAATGAGCGCATTCCCAGATTCCTTCCAGACGCGCGCGCTGGGCTCCGGGCCGGACAAGACATCAAAGCAGCATCAGATGGGTTAGGAAAGGAAAAGTCAATTTAATGACGTGCAAGGAGCACCCACACGGTCGTAGATCCTAGAGAACGGGGCAGGCCGGGAATATTCTGTTTCGGGAGCTGGGCGGTCAGGAGAGGGAGGCCTCGTGAGATAGATCAGGAGGGGGTGACCTCGCCTTGACTTTGAGTAAAGAGATTGTGTTCACAGATAACCCTAACGTGCACACGACTCCCCACACTGCATTCTTTGAGTGATCGCTTCTGGGATTAGGACAAAGGGCAAGCGCTAAAATGCCACCGTGAGGTCAAATAAACTACATTCTTTATAGATGGTGATAGATCTCCCCGACTCAGGCACCTCGAAGGGCCTCTAGTTTCCAAATCAAGGCACAGGCCTCCTCTGGCACACTGAAAAAAGCCTCACAGACCCTTGAAAATACAATTGAAACTGGTTTAAATAAAAAAATCACCAAGTCCATTAGCTGGGGAGCCCCGGATAAACCTTCAATGGAGCTGCAGCACCCAAGACCTGCATGGATGAGCCAGTTCTAACGACCCACATGGTCTGTCCTCTGCTGTGAAGGGAGCTGATCTTCCTTTACCTTTTTAGGTTCACGTGGATGGAAGATAATTAAATGGACACAAGACAGGACAGAGAAAAGGCAAATTTACTTATGTGCTCACAGAAGCCTGGAGAATAATGGAGCCCATACTCTGGCCTTGAGGCGGCGGCGTGTTTAAGAAAGCAGAAGGAGGACTTTGCAATTTAAGATGGAGTTTTGCAGAGCTCACCTACATATGAAAACAGACCTCCCGGCCCTATTCTGGGTGATAAGACTCTCTCCTTCCGGAGCAGGGAGAGAAGATACAGCGCATGTTTCAGGGAGGTCGGTAACTGGAAAAAGCTCCAGTCCTGGATCTGCTGTTTTTCCATTTCCTTCAACTCAGAAGAGTCAGCTCACTACTTGGGCACATGCTGCTGCAGCCTGTCCC